ACGCTATAGGGAACAGCCCCTACGCACCCCAGAGGCAGGGGCACTGTTGTGAGGCACGAGGTGGGGGCTGCACATGACTGCAGGGGGTGGGACAGGGAGCCCGCAGCCCCGGAGAGCGGGGCCCCAGGCTCCTCTTGCAGATCATCACACCTTCCTGCAGGTCAGCAGGAGCTCCCAGCAGAAGCCTGCTTAGGAGGGATGCCCCCCCCCCCCCAGTGGCACATGGCAGGTTGCACTCCTGAGTGCCAGGGGATGTGCTGCAGCACCAGTACCATTTATTATGTTATTTAAATCCAAATACAAAATAAGGATCAAGGGAAGAAGAGCATCTGACCGTGGAAGGCAGCAGGACAGGACTGCCCGCAGCCTGGCAGGCCCCAGGCAAGGGTCCAGGATCTTTCTAGCTCCACTAGCTGGAGTTGGCCTGTTCTGCCTTAAGCACCTCCATGGTGGGAGGCTGGGGGTCCTTACGGGCTGGAGGCATCTCATCCTGGGTCTTCACAGCTTGTGGCTTGGTCAGCATAGTGCAGATGCCCAGGGCCTGGAAGGAACAAGAGCGCCATGGGGGAGGAGAGGGGAAACTGCATGCTCTAAGGCTGTGGCAGAAGACACTGTGTTGGAGCAGGCAGTTCCACTGTGTCGCAAGTCAAGCAAGCAGGGCATAAGACCAGCTTGGCTGAACAAGGAACTCCTCTTGGAACTCAGGTGGAAAAAGAAATTGTATGATCTCTGGAAGCGAGGTCAAGCTTCGCAGGAAGATTACAGAGCTGTGGTTCGTATATGCAGGGAGAAGACACAAAAGGCCAAAGCTCAATTAAGGTTAACACTGGCCCGTTTCGTGTCAGGCAACAAGAAAGGCTTTTTTAGGTCTAAAGAAAATATTGGACTGATACTTGTTGAAGATGGTCACCTGACTAATAGGGATGAAGAAAAAGCAGAGGCATTCAATGCATTTTTTGCCTCAGTCTTTAATAATACTGATAGACCTTAGGCTGCCAGGTCCCCTGAGTCGGAGGACCACGAGTGTGGGAACAGTGACTTTCCATTTGTGGACACTGAAATTGTAAGGGACCAGCTGTATCAGCTGAATGTTCACAAGTCCATGGGGCCTGATGGGATTCATCCCAGCATACTGAAGGAGCTAGCGGATGTTACAGCAGGACCCCTCTCGATCATCTACCAGAGGTCTTGGGAGTCTGGGGAGGTGCCTGCTGACTGCAAGCTAGCCAGTGTTATTCCAATTTACAAGAAGGGCGTGAGGGGGGACCCAGGGAACTACAGACCTGTTAGTCTAACCTCAGTGCCTGGAAAAATTATGGAGAAGGGTATCATACTGGGTACTACTGAAAGGCATTTAAAGGACAATGCAATCATCAGGCACAGTCAACACAGGTTCACAAAGGGAAAGTCCTGTCTAACTAACTTAATATCCTTCTGTGATAAAGTCACCTGCCTAGTGGATGAAGGGAAGGCTGTGGATGTAGTTTTTATAGATTTTAGTAAAGCTTTTGATACTCTCCCTCACAGCATCCTTCTGGACAAGTTGTCCAACTGTGGGATGAGCAGGTTCACGGTGCGCTGGGTGAAGAACTGGCTGAAGGGCAGGGCTCAAAGGGTTGTAGTGAATGGGGCTACATCTGGCTGGCGACCGGTCACCAGCGATGTTCCTCAGGGCTCAATTCTAGGGCCAGTCCTGTTCAATATTTTTACCAATGATCTGGACACAGGAGTTGAATGCACCATTAGCAAGTTTGCTGATGATACCAAACTGGGAGGTGCTGTTGACTCTCTTGAGGGACAAGAGGCCTTGCAGAGGGATCTAGATAGACTGGAGCATTGGGCAGTGATTAATGGGATGAAATTTAACAAGTCTGAATCCCAGATTCTGCACCTAGGATGGAGTAATGCCAGGCACAAGTATAGACTGGGAGAGGAGTGGCTGGAGAGCAGCCCTGCAGAAAGGGATCTGGGGGTGCTGGTCGACAGCAGGCTCGATAGGAGTCAGCAGTGTGCCCTGGCAGCCAAGAGGGTGAACCGCATCCTGGGGTGCATCAAACACAGCATAACCAGCCGGTCAAAAGAGGTGATGATCCC